GCGGCGCGGCCTATGATGCCAGACACAGTCTACCCAGCCAGAGCCCGTCACAGCCGCAGTATCGAGCATACGTTCCGCCGGGCGCCGCCGCTAGTGATGGACCGAGTGCACCGCCTCCAGCGGACTATTATCGGCAAAGCGGCGTGTATTAGATGGTGAGGCGATAACTAGAGAACGACTGAACTGAATACCTAGCCCGTCCAGCCTAGTGAGACTATGGGTACGTGTTTAGGAGCCCCAGAAAGAGCCACTGGGTAAGGGAAGGCATATGATTGTTTAATAGGTAACATACATTCATTTCTCTGGATGGCAGCGACGGTCGGCGATGGAGGCAGGGAGGTTTCTCTTTCACCCATCCATTCTTTCCGGGGGACGTTTTGATAATTTGACGCCGTGTCCCATGAAGTATCGTGTTGTGTAGTCAATGGCCTTGTGTGCGATTCATTTCTTGATAGGGGACGAATATTGCGGATTGTTCAAAGCTCCATACCCAAGTTTGAGGAGACAGACTGTCGGTTTGTAGGCAGGGAGGGACGATGGCCCGCTGAGGGGGGGAATGGGAGGATTTATAAATGGCGCACAGGAATATGTACCATACTTTTTGTCGCCCCTGCTGTTCGGGTTTGTGACGTGACCGAAGTTCCTTTCGTTGTATCCAACGCCTGTTGCCGCTCAACGTTTGAGCCTACGACGCCAACTTGGCAACCACAAATGGTTCGTCCCGTCAATGTCTCACGTGGAAATCATGTTTTCATTCGCCATTGCTTCGTCAAGATTTAAATCAAACACTTCCCTGACGCCGTAGAATGCCGTCTGTTCCTTGCCGAAGAGCATAGCTCCTCCCGTGCAGTGGCTTCTTGGGAAGACAGAGCATCATCTGCCAATACTCCCCAATTATCACATCCGAACACAATTATACTTGAGACATGTAGACATCAGCCTAGCAGGTTTCCATCCGTCTACCAGCGCCGGCCAAACATCTCATGTTCGATCTTCTTGGGCGCCTTCCTGGCCTTACCGGCCATTAAGTTGGTCTCAGGAGAACCCTGTCTGCTGGTCCTCGCAGAAGTGCTACGAGAGGACGGCTCGACGTAGCTATCGTCGCCACGGGAGACCGCATCGGGTGCATCGCGGCGGAACAGGTCCATAATTTCCTTGAAGCCGAGCTTGAAGGCATCCTTCTTCATGCCTCCCTCAATAGCCGTCTCAGCAAGCAGACGCTTCTTCTCCTGCAGCGCGAGGATACGCTCCTCCACTGTCTTCTCGACAGTGAGCTTGTAGACAATGACGTCAACTGTTTGTGTAAGGCGATGGACTCGGTCAATGGCTTGCTCTTCGACGAACTAGCGTATTATCTGTCAGCTTGATGCGTTGAGAGGGAGGGAAGGGGTAAGAAACTCACGGGGTTCCAGAAGGGTTCTAGGATGATGACGCGAGTGGCTGCCGTCAGGTTAAGACCCAGACTGCCGCACTTGAGACTGCACAGCAGGATCCGGGTGTTCTTATCATTACGGAGACGGTGCAGACTAGCCTCCCGCTCGTCGTTCTTCATGCTACCGTCATAGCGAGTGAACTTGAAACCCTCCTTACGAAAGAAGGGCTCGACAAGATCCATCATGGAAGTGAACTGCGAGAACACGATGAATTTGTGTTGGTTGACTTCCTTATGCAGAATTTGCATCATCTGACGGATCTTGGCGGAGGCTAGGATGTGAGACACCTGGCCGTCAGGGTTGTAATTCGTATCATCGTCAGAATAGAGCTCCAACTCGTCTACGCCCATGTCCTCTTCCGATTCGGTTTCGCTTTCCGAGTCGGTCTGCAATGACTGCGACTGCGACGCATCGAAATTCTCCTCCTTCACCTGCGATGCTATCGCTGCTATCGAAGGGAGGCTGTCGTCGGATGCGTAACTCTCTTCCACGTCTCGCCCACGCCTATCCTCATCGTCTTTAACAACGAAACTGTCAAGTTGACTGCCCTCTTCCTCGTTCTCGGATTCGTGATGAGAGTCGTCGGGTCCAATCCAGTCGCCGCCGCCCTCAGCGTTCTCGTCATCCTCGCCGCCAGCCTTCCCCATCCGCAGTTGGCAACGCTGGTCGTCAGGTACGAGCCAGCTGCCGTCTGCTTCTTCATCATCACTGTCGACGACAATATTCCTGTTTCTAGGGCGGCGTGCTCTAGGCTTGTATGGTGTTCCGTCCTCAGCCTCGGCTACCACAGGCCTCTTCACAATCCCCTTGACTTTGCCCTTCTTGTGCTTAGGCTTCTTTGTCTTTGGCGTCTCATGTTCCTTGAAGTAGGCCAGATCATCATAGCACTCTTGACAGGTATCTCTATCGCTGCTGACAACATCCTTGGGAAGGTTTCGTCCGCAGATACTGCATGTCTTTGCGACGATACCCATTCCGCCGAACATGTCGGCCAGAGAATCCATGTCTGCAGAGGAGTTCTTGTTGGATGTGTCAGTGGACAGCGCATCTTTGTCCTTGTCGAGCTTGCCCTCAAGCAGCTTGGGGTGATTGCAAGCTTGTCTGAGCCGCAGAAGAAGGACCAAGGCATTAGCATAGTCTACCTTCCCCTTCAACATCCTCTCGATACTCTCGTCGGCTCGAGTTTCCAGTCTGTCATAGAAGCGACGCTCAGCAGGAGAGAACATCGTAGCCACGGTAACAACCTTGCGCTCAGTGACCTTGAAGCCTGTGCTAGACTTCTCACCGTCCTTCGTCGGCTTGCCGCCTGGATTGAGGGCCCCCTCCTCTTTGAGAATATCCTTGGTACGTCGCTTCATGAAGCACCGTAGAAGACTGTGGAGGCGGCGAATAGCAACATGTCCTTTGCCGTTCTTCAGAGGCTTCTCAATCTGCTCCTTCCATTCCTTCAGGTCGTCGTATGGCTTAATCCGCAAAAAGTTGATGAGGGACTGCAACTCTTCCAGGTTGTTCTGCATTGGGGTTCCCGACAAACACCAGCGGTACTCTGAACGCAGCGCGTAGCATGCCTTTGTCGACTTTGCATTGCGGTTCTTGATGGTATGTGCTTCATCGAGTACCACACGCCACCAATGAAGGCCAAAACATCCTGCCTTGACGCCGTTGTCATCCTCGGACGAGTGGCCCCATTCGGAAACAAGGACTTGATAAGTGGTCACAACCACATCGTAGGCGGCAAGGTCCTTGAACCTCTTGGTGCGTTGCGGCCCATGATGAACGCAAACATTAAGCCCATGATTCTTGGCCACCTTTTCCTTGATTTCCGACTCCCATTGCCTGATCAACGCTAGGGGCGCGACTACAAGCGTCGTCCTTTCGATGCCCTCGAAATGCTTCTTGTAGCCTTTATCGCCTTTGGAAGGCTTCTGGTTGCTGAGGATCAGGGAGATAGTTTGCAGAGTCTTACCAAGACCCATGTCGTCTGCCAGAATACCACCCTTTGGGACCTTGCCTCTCTTGACTGGGCCAAGCTCACGACCTCGCATCCACTCAACACCTTCAACTTGGTGGGGAAGGAGCTTCACCTTGAGACCTTCCATAGTACCATCATTGACAGCCGCTTCAGCTTCCTTGTTTTGAGTTTCCTCATTGTCCGACTCCATGCCGCCCTCCAACAGTGCCTTCAGGTCGGCTGAGGCTTTCGCCGGATCGGTATAGAACTCGGTTTCTCCAAAGCTGCCGGGAGGTCTGTAGGTGGAAGGGTTGGCATCTGGACCAATAGAGCTGTACAACGTGCGCGGCTCCGGTTTTTTGTCCTGATATAGGGGAACAGACGGTATAGCTATATTTTGAGATCTATGGTGCTCGGGTCGAGATCTACGTTCGTTGAAGACGCCTGTAGCCTTTTGCTTGAGAGAGGACATAATCTTAGTCGGATGGCCAAAGACCGGCTGGTGTGGTGAAGAATGTAAAGGATCGCGACGTTTTGTATCCGAGAAGAAGGATTCCAATGCATCAGAGGGTAGCGTTGATTTATTGCCTGAGCTTGCATCGCTCTCCTTGGAAGTCGGTCGAGATGGGTGCTTGAAGTCGCCTCGCGTAATCTCTACCAGTTCAGGGCTGACTGGGCGTTGGATCGGCTGACTGCGACGCGCTGATGTGTTTGGAATTGCCGCCCGGGAGTTCGATGCTGACGTTGTCGACACGCGCATAGCGTCAAATCTGGCAGTGAGGGCATCGGGTTCGAAAGAGGATGAACCTCCGAGACTCTCGGATTGTAATGTCCCGCGAGAGACTCCACGGAAGTCTTTGGAAGGTGTGCTTGTTTTGGGCAGTTGGCGCGCGGTCGAGGACTGCGAGTCCTCATTTTGGTTGATCGGGCGCAAGGAGCCCTTGGCCGGATTCCGCTGGTTGACCATTGATGTGTGTGTAGCTTAGCCGTGACTAGTCTTGATATGTATTGTCGGACTGCAGTCGTTGTCCTATCTGCGCGCTGGCTCGAGATAATCCGATTGCTCTTCAGGCAATCATGTGTTTTGGTGTCAGAAAGCGAACTTGGTCGCCTAGTTTTCTGTCGTTTCAAAATGGAGGGGTCAGATGTTGACCTTCGTTGGCGGGGGGGGAACAACTGAATGTGGGTTGTAGTAACTTTACAAGAGCGGGATCAATATAGCTCCGGCAAAGTGAGGGAGTATACCGATAATGAGGTCCTTCTTATTGACAAGACGGTTTTCACCTTTTCGGAAGAGTCCAGAATGTGTAAACGTAACAAGCCGCGATTGTTGGGAGGGCTTTGATTCAACGTGAACGGGATGTGCTGTTGATACCATTTACAAATGACATAACTTTCCCCAGCAACGGGTAGGCAACCAGACGCCACTAAGCAGATGTGGGGCAGGAATCTAGAGTCGAGACAATGTGTGGCTGTGCACGACTCGCAGTTGCACTTTGCGCCTCAAACCCAGGTCGCTTTTTATTAAGTCTCACAGAACCACCTTACATGCCAGTAAACCTTGAAGAGCGCGATTTGACAGCTTCGCAGTCATGCAATCATTTTCTAATGTTCTATCATCTAGATGGGGTATCAGTGTATGGATCGAAACCAACACGCTCCTTCGCTTCCGTCCTCGCCCTCAACCGCTCTTCTCCCGTCAGTCCCGTCGTTGATGATTCTTCCAAGAAGAAATTCAGGATATGATCGTGCATGGTTAGGTGCGGTGCCTGTTGGAACTCTTGTAGACTCGCCAATCTAATCAACATTTCCATGAGGGAAAGAGAGGTGACAACCGCGCCAAACGGCGATCTTGCGACAAATGACTCCGTATTCTCCATCGCATGTTTCGCTACTTCCCGAGAGAACGATGAGACCGACGCGGCTGATCCCGTAGCTTTGACGGATGGGGACGACTGCAGTGACAGACTCTGAATCTGCGCCATGAGTCTTGTGTCTAACGATGCCCTCGAACGACGGGAAAATGTTTTCGGAGACGCAGCTGCTGACATTGGGCCCGAGCTTGTGGCCAACCTGTGCAGTTCCTCCCCAAGATCCTCGTCTTCGGTCTCACTGCTCTCCGAATCGTCATTATCTTCATATACTTCCACAGCAAGCCATTCCGGATCCAGGTGGCTGGGGAAGCGCCTACAAGAGGGTTTGGTAGACAGCTTGGGCATTTGCTCCAGCATTTCCAGCGCCGCACTCTCTTCTCGAAGCTGACGATCGATGTCTTCCTGCTCATCCACAGCCTCTTCATCCTCGGATCCGGAAACTATGATGGAGTCGACTTCGTCGTCGAATGCCATCACTTCTTCTTGCATATCCAAGGGTGGCTTTGCATGGAGGTCTCGTTTTAACAACAGAACGGGATTGTTGTCTGTTCCCTCAACGCCAATATTGAGGATGCGGCCAGTATCGGCATAGAACATCTTGGAAACTTGATGGATAGGGATAGACTCGCGAATGCCCGCGTGTCTGATGTCGTCGTACGGGGCGGCCTCAGCATCGAGGTCGTCGTGAGCACGGCCATCGTCCAAATTCTCAATGATCTCAAGGTGGTAGGCATACTCGTTGCGCTGATCCGAGCCGTAAGCATTCGACCTGCGGAACCGAGACTCGGTGAATCTGCTGTGTTGGGCCCCTGACGGTTGGAAGCCTTTGTTGGGATCAAAAACGTGTCCCGTCGGTGTCCGACACAGCCGAACCCTGGCTTTGTGAATGACCTCCTGCCACAAGGGTTTACGCTCTCCCTCCCCAAGACCATACGGCGCCGATGTATATTCGGATGACTTGTTTTGCCGTTTTTGCGAATGTCCTTCTTGGTGCGCCGGTTGTGTTTTGGGTGTTGTCGAGGCGTGACCGAGGAACAACATGTAGATGGACAGTGTGAAGACAGGTCCTATCTGCACAGGGCGAGAAGGATCAACGGCGAACTGACTATCCCCATAGGTGAGAAAAGTACCTGCTTGCAAGAAACGTGACGGCGACACACCCGGGGACATGGCAGAACTGAGGCTCTCCCCTGATGCAGATATGGCCATGTGCAAAAGGGGGATATCGTTGTCCAGCTGATGCAAGAGGTCCTTCATATCATCGATGATTGCCCTCAGTTCCTCAAGGTGCTGTTCAGAACCCAGACTCTGTGGTAGGGCTTGGCTAGTTGCTTCGCCTGTCTGTGCTGCCTGCTCAACGCGGCGTCCAAGAGCAGCGATACTCCGCCTTAGACTCTTGGCCAGAGGCAAAGCCGATTCCAGGAAGGCATTGCCTCTGCCCGATCTGAGGAGCTGTTAGCCGATGGGTCCAGGGGAGGCGATTAATAGGGATAAGTACTTGAACTCTATGAGATCTATCGCAGGAGAAACGATCCGCAGGGTAAGTTAGCGTGGTGACCACAGTGCCAAGGGCGTGGTCTCTCACCTTGATCTTGCTGTCCAACCTCTTCTGAAGCTTCTTGATCTCTGACCGAACAGCCCTGTCATCGACAGTTTTCATAAGGCGTGAACACTGAGAGAAAGCATAGGTCGAAGTCAAGGCAATGCCCGACCTGATGGCCATGTTCATTGCCTGGGCTCCCAGTCTAGCGAGTAAGGCATCCATGGTTGTTCAGGTTCCATGCTGGTGCTGGGAAAGCCTTGTCATGAGGAGATTACCAATGCGGCAGAGGGGTTTTTTCGTTTGTGTGCAATGATCAATAGGCGAAGTCGACCTTCTGCATCGAAGAACTAGCACAAAGAGGCGATATCTTCCCGGTGCAAGTCTTGGAACCAGGATACCTCAGGCAGGTTGCCAGAGGTGAACCTGGTCGGTGACGGGATCGCAAGGCCTAGCAAGGCGTGGAAGCTCGCCCCCCCCCCCTCCCACTGCAATACTACTGGAGTCGGAGCCCAGCCCAATTGCAATGCCCGATTTGGGCAGAAGGGGTTGACACAACGCACAGTGCGAAATGGGCAGCCAGCCCCGCTCTTCTCGTGTTAACCCAGCGAGCGGCATTCATCGTGCTCTGGGTTTTGGAGGAGCAAATTACCCCTCAATCGAGACACACAACCGTGGACAGTGCAACAGTGTCAAGGCAGCGCCGCGACGACCCCGCCGAACGGTGGAGCCCGCACTTCAAAACGTTCGTCGGGTCGATACACTTGCAAAACCTGAGCCGCTGCGTTGGATCTTTGGGAAAGGATAATAAAAAAAATTTGCCAGAACCGCAAAAGGCTTCGAATAATCTGAGCCATTTGACGAGTAGAATAATTGGGAACTTAGTGGCACGCCCAATCCAAAGGTGAGTCACTAGAACCCAGATCCAAGTCGTAGTCACCTTGTCCTCATCACCTTTTCCATCTGTCTCCCACCGTTTTTGCGTCCCTGCCTTACCTCAGGTACTGAAGTCACTCACTGTCTGCCTGTAATACCTGTCACCTTTGTTGCCGCCACGGGAAAAATAAACCCACCAGCCCCTCTTTAAATCTTTCTTGGGGCGCATTTCGTTAACATCCCATCCCACTCCCAGCTCTGACCGCATTCTCTCCCCAACCCCTCGATCCCGCTTCCACTCTTTCACCACCTACTTATCTTACTCTTCGATAATCCATTCCATCCGCCCCGCCGCAGTCCATCACGATGTCGAACCTCAACTCGTGGGAAGACGACCCTTCGGCCCAGGATGACAACCTGTCGCGCCAGGCCCAGCAGCAGCTTAACCTCAACCAACAGCAGAACCCTCAGCCCGGCACCTTCCGCCCAGGCGCCTCCTCCTTCACCCCCGGAGCTCAGGCATTCCAGCCCGGTCAGCAATACGGCGGCTACGCCCCTCAATACCAGCAGTACTACAACCAGGGCTACGCTGGTGCTGGCGGCTTCCCTCAGTACGGTGGTCAAGGTCAACAAACTTTCAACCAGTACGGACAGGGCAATAACTATGGTGCCTACGGCCACCAGGGCTACCAACAACCCTACGGTATGTTTGACATTGGGATATGACCTTCATCACAACCACCGCTAAAGCGAAGGTCTCACAGGCCAGGGTTACCCTCAGTACGGTCAGCAACAACAGCAGCAGCAACAACAGCAGCAGCAGCAACAGCAGCAGCAGCAACAGCCCGCCCCGACCATTGCCAAGCGCCCCGCCGATGCCTCCGCGCCCGCGCCCGCGCCCCAACCTACAGTGAAGAAGGAGGGCGGTGCCAAAGTCTTGAGCATTGGCGGTGACGCCCCCAAGCCCAAGGCGAAGGTCCTTTCAATCGGCGGTACTGCCCCGCCTAAGAAGGAGGAGAAGAAGGAGGAGTCTGCCAAGGAGGCCGGCGCCGCCACGGCCGAGGCCGGAGCCAAGGCCACGGCTGCTAAGGCGATTGAGAAGACGGGTGCTTCTACTACCAAGTCCGGAAAGATCTCTCCATCTCCCTCTTCCGGCCGCTCAAGCCCCTCCGCAGGTGAAAAGAAGACCGCCGCGAGAGATGTCGACGCCGTTCAAAAGGAGCAGACTGCCGACGTCGACGAGGCGACCCTGAAGGAAATCTACGGAAAGGAGCACGTCAACATCATTTTCATCGGGCACGTTGATGCCGGAAAGTCCACTCTGGGTGGCTCCATCCTCTACAACACAGGAATGGTAGATGAGCGGACAATGGAAAAGTACAAGAAGGAAGCCAGAGAACTCGGCAACCCGTCTTGGTACCTTTCCTGGGTCATGGACTTGAACAAGGAGGAAAGGTCACAGGGTAAGACGATTGAGGTTGGCAGAGGTTACTTCGAGACCGATGTGCGACGATACAGTATCCTTGACGCTCCGGGCCACAAGACCTACGTGCCCAACATGATCGGCGGTGCCTCGCAGGCTGATGTCGGTATCTTGGTCATTTCAGCCCGTAAAGGCGAGTACGAGACCGGCTTCGAACGTGGTGGCCAGACCAGGGAGCACGCTATGCTTGCCAAGACGCAGGGTGTCAACAAGTTGATTGTTGCCATCAACAAGATGGACGATGCTACTGTAGAATGGTCGCAAGAGCGCTACCAGGAGTGCACGTCCAAGCTGTCCCAGTTCCTCAAGGGAACTGGCTACAACCTGAAGACAGACGTTTTCTTCATCCCCGTCGCCGCCCAGCAGTCGATCAACATTAAAGAGAGGATTCCCAAGGGCACTGCCGATTGGTACGACGGACCCTCACTGCTTGAGTACCTTGATGGTATGAAGGCTCTGGAGCGCAAGGTCAACGCGCCTTTCATGATGGCCGTCGCAGGCAAGTACCGCGACATGGGCACCATGATTGAGGGTAAGATCGAGGCCGGCGTCATCAAGAAGGGCATGTCACTTGTCATGATGCCCAACAAGCAGAACGTGGATGCCTCGGCCATTTACGGCGAGACTGAGGAGGAAGTGCAGGTTGCCCAGTGTGGCGACCAGGTTCGCATCCGTCTCAGAGGCATTGAGGAGGAAGACATTATGCCTGGCTTTGTCCTGTGCTCGCCCAAGCGCTTGGTGCATAACGTGCAGACATTTGAGGCGCAGATCCGCATCCTGGAGTTGAAGAGCATCTTGTCAGCGGGCTTCAACTGTGTGCTGCACGTTCACGCTGCCATCGAGGAAGTGACTTTCGCCGCCTTGCTGCACAAGCTGCAAAAGGGCACCAACCGCAAGAGCAAGCTGCCGCCTTCGCACGCAAAGAAGGGAGACAGTATCATCGCTCGTCTGCAAGTTATTGGCGGTGCCGGCTCAGTGTGCATTGAACGGTTCGAAGACTACCCGCAAATGGGTCGTTTCACCCTCAGAGACCAGGTTCGTTCCGCTCGCTCTTGCCTCAAAGTTGCTCGCCCGACGGCTAACACATGGGAATAGGGACAAACCATTGCCATTGGCAAGATTACGAAGCTGATCACTGACGAGGCTTCTTAAATTTACAACGGATGACGCGAAACCAAGAGTCAACTTGGGACGAGAGGATCGAGCCGTGTTTCTTGAAAATGGCATGCGCGAAAAAGTATTCGCAACCACAAAATGATGAAGGTGTTCTGGGCCACGACCGACATGCATAGAGATGGGGCTGGATAACGTAGAAAGAGGAGTGGGCGACGTCATGAAATGAGAGCGGCAATGCCATGACACGGACGGACGCGACACAACAGACTCGGCATGACAAGGCCGACCGAAGATAGCATTGTGAAGGAGGATTGGGGTAAGGGATGGGAAAGATGGATCGATCCAAAACCAGAAATCAATCTCAAACCGGACAAAACACGCACATGACGATGGCTTCACGTTTTGACCCTGTATACGTGTATATGTGTGTTTGTGTGCATGCGTAAGCGAGCTAAGGTAGCAAGCAGGTGTCAGGATTGTCGGATTCCGAGATGACTACGGAGTACCTGGAACTATTGTGTCTCCCGAAATATTCCGACGAGTAGGACATTCTCGGGGCTGCAATGCCAACGAGTTGGAGAACGATAAGGGTATCCCCAGCCCAGTCGGCGGTTCCGAGATTTTCTCGTGGTTAGGAGCGGGCTCTGGAGTGACAGCCCAACTCGAGAGTACCTGGGCACAAACCCAGGTACCTAATTCAGAGAGGTACGTACTGGGTGGTCCAATAGGCCACGGGAGGCGTACGTCCCAGTTGGTTCTTGTTAGTTGCCTGTTCTGTGTGGTGTAATGCTAATACGGATGCGCCGAGACGACGACTACGTATCGTAGGGTTGATCCAGTTCGCAGACTGTTAGCCCCCCCCCCTCCTTCCGTATCTGGCTAGCCAGGGCACTTCACGAGATGTTATTGCAATGTCGGTTCTTCATCTTTGAACGTGCCCGGTCAGATGATCCCGTTCACCCCCATGACGAGCTGTGCTTGCCCGAGACGAGTCGATGACTCTGTTGTCCATCCTTCTGTTATCTCCATTTTTACGAGGTATGCTACCTGTCACACGTGCTCTCGGAACAAGAAATGTACGTAGTGGGAGGGATGGATAGGACAGATATGGCCTCTCTCGTATACAAAGGTAGTAGGTACGTACGGTATGGTACGGTATGGTACGGTACGGTAAAGCAAAGGATCAATATTCAGCCAACGTAGGCTTTGGCACCCCTGTCGTAATGGTACAGTAGGTTATTATGGCATGCATGTGTGCTTACGTATGACCCGAGAGTGAATTGTATCGAGTTGCGACACTTGCACATTACCGTATCTTGGAGTTGCAGTTATGATACAATCTACAAGTTGAGCAAGGAATTGGGTTGTGTGCGCCGGAAGATATCGGAACAGCAAGCTGAGGATGAGCCTCTCTGCACGGCTAGCGGTGCCGATTGGGCGAACGGCAATGGGAGCGCGGGGTAACTCGCACCAGGGCGGGGCGCGCACACACGCGCACACACCCACGCGAAGCGGCTCTCTCCTTTCGATGCAGCTGTCCAACGTCATCTTTTTGCAAGATTGGCCAGGGCCCATCCCACCTACTGTGGATCCATCAGATCCAGCCGTTTTGGATCGTACTTGGCTTCCCCTCCTACCCGTGAAAGCCCGATGAAGAACTGTGCTGGTTTGGGGAAAAGATGGGGTGTGTGTGTAACAAGCAGGACAAGACACCCGTGAAAGAGGGGAAACCCGGCATGGCATTTTGTTTTCTTGCATTGCATTGCCGCGATGCGTTGGCGGTGTTGGCTTCACACAAAGGCAGAGAACTAGTGCTGTAATCAATCATTTTGAGATGGTGTTCCTAAACATTATCGTGGATGTCGTTTCAGCTTGTTCTCTTTGCCTGTAGGTTGCTGTTTGCCGCTTGGACAAGCCGAAGGGACACTTTGGGGGTCATCAAAAGGGAAGTGGGAAACATCCAAGACACAAACACAACGAGAAGCAAGAGGAGAGAAATCTCCACTGTGTTGTACTGCAATTAGTCTGCAGAGCACATAGATAAAAATAATAAAATAACAAAATAGAACAGGTTCGGACAGAGAGACGGAGTTCTCGTAGGCGCATGGAAGCCATGCGATTAGGTAGACTTTCCGCGTAAGCGCTGGTTGGTTACTGGGTCGAGCAAGATGGCAGGGTAACATGCTTGCAGGGCAACCCGGCGGGCTGCGAACTCGCGCCGCGGCGGGGAGCAGCATCGCAAGCCAAAAGATCAGATCGAAAGGGAACTTGCCTATTACCTCCCTTGTCGAGACCTGTCTCAAAGTCTTGGCTTGCCTCTACTGGGCTTGAGGTTGGGCTGAGGTGGGCTGAGAGCGAGGGGGCGGGGTGAGGAAGACATCCTGACAACAGCAGGACCCGGGCAGGGAGAGCACAAAGGCATGATGACGGTATCTGTGGGAAGCGGGTGTGAGCCTAGGTACTAAGGTAGGTACTGCATCCTACGTACGTGCCCCTTACCCATGACGAGGGACAGCAGACATGTGCCTCGCGCTCTCTCCTCAGTCAGGTACGGCACGGAACGGATACTGGACGGGTCGTTCCCCAACTCTTCCTGTTGTTGTGCATCTTTATTCCTACATGATTCATGCTTGGATTTTTTTTTCCCCATCTCTTTTTTCTTCGGGGCTCCTTTCCGTCTAGATTTCTTTTCTGTTTTTCTCCGAAAAGCAAAACTGGGACAATCAAATGCATACAGAGTACTTATTTCGTTCTTCACCCTGACTCGGTCACGTTCCTCAGAGGGTAAGGGAGAGATCCAAAGACGAATTCAGAGAATAAAAAAGTTAAGTTGGTTGGTTTCCGACTTTATCTGCCTAATGCATGGTTTCGTAACTTTGGCCGCGGTTAATTGGCCCCTTGGAGAAACAAGATTTGAATCGATCATCATGGGGCTCGTCGGGTTGGGCGCCGCATGGCCACACAGATAGGCATACGATGTACCTCTCCCACGAGGTACTTGGGTACTGGCTGGTGGATGTGCAAGGGTAATGGTAGCATTTTTTCTGCAGGTGCATTGTCCTTCCCGGATCTTTTCGACCTCGACATTTCAAGAAACTGGAGAGGCGTCGACGACCGAGGAACGTCCCGGAGGCCGCCTAAACTTTTCTTGTCCTTTGTCCTCTCGTCTTCTTCTCTTTCTCCTGCCAAACGCGACAGCCCGAGAGCCGTCCAATATTATAATGCCGCAATCTGTAACTAAACGAACCCAAATCGGCAGAAAGGAACCATGTACTGCCGCCTTGTTGAAAGTGATCGCGTGCACAAAGACATGTTTTACGTACTGGGTAGGCGGGCGGGCGGCTTCGAGTCACACTATCGACGGATCAGATGCAAGAGAGACAAGGTAAGTTAGCCAGTGTTCGGGAGGACCATGCCGACACCCACGGAGACAGACGGAAGAAGCCTGTAGATTGTGATTGTGGGGGAGGCCGCCTTGGGAAAAAAAAAGGGTGGAGGGGGAAGGGGTGGGTGGGGGGGTGGATGCGGATTTGTGCGTGCATGCATACCAATGTACGGATACACGTACTATGTATACCACCTAGGTAGGTAGGTAGGTAGGTAGGTATGCAGCCGCGCGCAGTAGTACAATACTGAGAGGAAGAGAGGGAGCAGAATGTGTTGTAAATCGTCCACCGAGAGAAATGTCGAATTGCTACCTGTCTAATGCGTACCCTCTCCCCTGCCATGCCGCCATGTTCACTTTACCGTAACCGATTCCCAGTTCCCACTCGCATGGCACTAGTCCATTAATCCATCCGTCCCCTTTCTCGTGTGTGCCTGTCCACTACTGCTCCAGTACCTAGCCCGGCGTGATATCATGACCTAATAATCAAAAAGAGACGGGTCGGGCCCTCATTATCTTTGGACGATGAGGCAAACCAAGAATGCCCTGCACCTCGCAGCACTTGCACTGCCCACACACCCACGCACCCCACCCCTCCCCTCTCACCCCTTCCCACACTCATACTCACACTCACTACCTACTGGCCTACCTAAGGTAGGGCAGAGAGATACATACCCAGTACGTACTTGTCCATCTTCGCTAGTCCGCTTCTCCACGAGCTCGCCCCGAGGGACGAAAGTGACAAGCAACAGGTTCGAGTCTTTCCGATCCTGTCCCTATTCCGAGCCCGCAACAAGGATCTACGCCCCTCCTCCGAACCCGAGATAATATCGTGAAGCGCCCAGCAAACGATAACTCGTCCAGTCACGTCGTTGCCCTCCTCCCCGCGACTCCACACGCCGCGCCCGTTCTTATAAGTGGGAGACCCCATTCTGGCCTTCTATCCTCGGTTCCAGCCCGGACCAAGTCGCGAAGCAGTCTTGTCTACACCTTTGCCCACTCACTCCATACACTCCCATCTGGCTTTTCGCTCCACACTATCCGTACCTCGACACGCAAGTGGATACACGGTTCCTTTGCCATCCCTGAAAGCGGACGAGAACCACAAGCCCAGACCCAAGCCATCTTCACCCGATCTCAAAGAATCAACCCGCCGTCTTCTCAATTCTTTAAAACCATGAAGGATCCCGTCCAGAGAACCTCTTCTCCCTACACCGATCCAGCAGTAAAGGGCCCAAAGTCACAAATTCTTCACGAAGGAACCCACGCAGATTTACGCAAGAGTTTGTTCCCTCCTTCCTCATTCCCCTTTATCCACATCGCCGTACCTTTTCCCGTCTATCGGACATCTTCCACGTAGACATGCGCTCTGTTTCCCCTTCTTGACCTCCCGTACCCTTCACATAGCCTCGGGAAGGTCTCCCAACCATCACTGCCTACCTTGCTTGAAGAAAAGAACAAACCAGAAGCTAACATGACCACCGCCAAAGTGATCGCTAGCAACGTCAACAAGACCCCTCTCCACCCTAGTGGTGTTGCGTATGTCCCCTTGTTCCCATATCTGGACACGCGTTGCAAAGGATCCCGACTAACATGGCATATCCAGTCCTCACCATGAGCACACCGAGCTTGGTATGATAGTCTATTTGCGAGCCGATCCTCTGCGACGGTCACAGCCACCCAACACCCTGAACTAGTCTAACACGCCGAAACAGAGGAGGAGCTTCACGAGACCGCGCACATTGACTATGACCGAGTCGCCATTGTACGTGCGAAAAGCGGCTTAGGGTTAGGTTCTTGGACAAGTAACTAACCGTGGATTAGATCCCTAACGCCTCCGTTGCCGCCCTCTACGAAGACGCTCTCGTATACGAGACTGGCTCTGCTATCACATCAAGTGGTGCGCTAACTGCCTACTCTGGAAAGAAGACTGGACGCTCGCCTCTCGACAAGCGAATCGTCGAGGAGGACAGCTCCAAGGACGACATTTGGTAAGCACTACTACCCAAAACCTTTCCATTGTACACATCTTGCCGCGTGCATGTGAGCAGCTAAATGGCTGGTTGCTAATTCTTGAATACGTAACCATTTACTAACAGTCGAACTTCCTAGGTGGGGTCCTGTCAACAAGCCCATGTCACCCGAGGTAAGACAAACCACATTCAAGCCGAGTCATGGCTCAGTCGAAGTCGGCACGCTTCCTGTCTGCTCTTTGTTTGTTTCCCGTTTAGCCCAGCCCAGCCCAGCCCAGCCTAGCCCAGCCCGGCAGCAGCAGCAGTAGCCACGTCCCCCAGACACAGACATCAAGCAGGTCTTTCTCGTCACGCGACATCTCGATGAAACAAGTCGCCTTGCACCGCTTTGGCTTTCCCTTGACTACAGCTGTAAAGTTGGTTGAAATCCCAGTCAGCAGTACAGGAGAAGGTCAAGCTTGCCGAGGAACTTGCCGTCGACGAATACGTCATGTTTCAGATCGGCACTGCGACCTCTCTCCATCTCCTCCCGATCTGTCAAGTGCAGAAATTTGAGCATCGATACGTATTGACACTTGTTGGGGGAGAGCATCTCATCGAAATGCTATCATCCAATGTTTCCAGACATTTCCCCCTTTGTGTTCTACATGGGAGCGATGTGTGCTCTGGGCGCAGATTGCGCCTAGAAGAGTGTCGTCATAGCCCTGCAGTCATTGTTACCCACTCCCGTTTCTGTTTCTGCCCCGACCCGAGGGGGGGAAGACGCTAAACCACTTTTCTCATCCCTGTCCCTCGCCCCACCACTTTTCGCCGCCTCCACATCAATGCTTCTCTTCGGCACCCAGATCCACAAATCTGCTGACACGTGAGATTTTTAGGTTTGGAAGATCAACCGCGAGCGTGCCATCGATTATCTGAACACGAGAAATCGCATCTACGTCGTGGATGGTTATGCTGGATGGGATGAGAAGTACCGCATCCGCGTCCGTGTAATCTGTGCCCGCGCCTACCATGCACTGTTCATGAGAAACATGCTCATCCGCCCTCCTCGTGAGGAGCTCGAGCACTTCCACCCCGATTACACCATCTACAATGCTGGCTCTTTCCCTGCCAACAGGTACACTGAGGGCATGACCTCCGGCACCTCGGTCGCTATCAACTTCGCTCAGAAGGAGATGGTCATCCTTGGTACCGAGTACGCTGGCGAGATGAAGAAGGGTGTCTTCACCGTCCTCTTCTACGAGATGCCCATTAAGCATAACGTTCTCACTCTGCATTCCTCCGCCAACGAGGGTAAGAACGGCGACGTCACTCTCTTCTTCGGCTTGTCCGGCACCGGCAAGACCACCCTTTCGGCCGACCCTCAGCGTGCCCTGATTGGCGACGACGAGCACTGCTGGAGTGACCGCGGCGTCTTCAACATTGAGGGCGGCTGCTACGCTAAGACCATTGGCCTGTCGGCCGAAAAGGAGCCTGATATCTTTGGTGCCATTCGCTTCGGCTCCGTTCTTGAGAACGTTGTCTTTGATCCCGAGACTCGCATCGTCGACTACGATGACTCAACCCTTACGGAAAACACCCGATGCGCCTACCCAATTGAGTACATCAGCAATGCGAAGATTCCCTGCCGCTCCGACTCGCACCCCACCAACATTGTGTTGCTCACCTGCGATGCTCGTGGTGTCCTACCTCCCATTTCCAAGCTGGACCGCGCCCAAACTATGTTCCACTTCATATCGGGTTACACCTCCAAGATGGCCGGCACTGAGGACGGTGTCACCGAGCCTCAGGCCACTTTCTCCTCGTGCTTCGCCCAGCCTTTCCTCGCTCTGCACCCCATGCGTTACGCCAAGATGCTCGCTGATAAGATCGAGCACCACAATGCCAACGCTTGGCTTCTGAACACGGGCTGGGTTGGTGCTGGCGCCTCCCAGGGCGGCAAACGCTGCCCGCTTAAGTACACCCGCGCCATTCTCGATGCCATCCATTCCGGTGAGCTGGCAAAGGTTGAGTACGAGACGTATGACACCTTCAACCTTCAGGTCCCCAAGACCTGTCCCGGCGTTCCCAGTGAGTTGCTTAACCCCAAGGCCGCTTGGACTGCGGGCAACGACAGCTTTGAGACCGAAGTTAAGAAGCTCGGCACCCTCTTCAACGAGAACTTTAAGAAGTACGCGAGCGAGGCGACCGAGGAGGTCGTCAAGGCTGGTCCCGTTGTCTAAACTAAAGTTTCGAACCAAGTGCATGCTGCTGTGCGAGCGTAAAGCGTCGTTATTTGTGGGTTTATGATTATCATATCTAATCATTTCTTTGGGTCTTTTTTTGGGAAATGGGTTATGTCGACATCGTTCGACATGAACATGATGCCGCGTGGGACTGCGGCAGTTTTGGGATTCTGTTGTTTTTCTGTTGTATAAACACAGGAGTTTGATCAGTTTTTGGACTTATCTTATAGATTGAAAATGAAAATAAGTTTTACGTCATTCATAGTGTCCCCTCCCCTGCGGGCCCGTCATTTAAATCTCTATCTTTCTAAGCTTTCCGAGCCCGACGCTGCAAGATCCTCCGGTTACATTCGCAAGCGTCTGGCTGGGTTCATGAGCTGAGTAGATTGTACTACCAATAAGATCCCCCCTGTGCCCTCGACTCACCCGTGAAGCTGGTGAGGTGTCTATCTTGGATCTAAGAACATGCATGCCCACGTTGAGGGCGTCTGCTTTCCCCTGATTCTAGGCCTTAGACTGACATTAGTGTTTGGTGACACTGATGTAGGGCACAAGTACTTGGGTCATATCGTGGTTATATACTACTTTATGCAGATAGCTGCAACTTCCAAGCTCACGCCGTTCATCTCACCAATCTCTGGATGAAATCTTCTCGGCCACGATCCAGTTCACGTGCCCCAAAGGCGGCAGGTGCGGTTCGCTGCCACTTTTGAACTCCCAACCATCGGTGCGGGCACCGCACGACTTCATCAATGCCTCGACTTCATCAGGCGTCCTTGTTCGCAGGGCAGAAACATACCCATCAAATACCAATACGAACGGTAAAATTGGGATGAGGTAGGTAAAAATCAGCACCGAAAGCGAGCGTAACCTCCACGCATGCAAGGGCGCCAAGAAGATGCACCCGATGCCGAGGACGGCGGGCATGAGGAAAGAGTATAGGTCGCGGCCCTGCAGTTCGAATATGGCGAATCCGTCCGAGGTCTCGAGTGTATTTTTCAAAATTGCCTTTGCCAGCGAGTCGTCAAAGTGGTGAAAGGCCAGGTTGAAGAGTCGAAAGACCTTCTTGCCTTTCGAGGTATAGCCGTCGACGAGCTCGCGGGGGGCGGCGGCAGCGTCCACGCTATTGGGCTCGTAGCCAATATGATTGCTCTTGGCGGCGGCGCGGGCCCAGGCGTCGGTGTTAGGGTGCAGGTCGGTCAGGATGAAGTCAACAGTGGGCTGCTTTTGAGCTGTGAGGTGGCAGTTGATGTGACGCTCGATGGCAGGAGTTGGCCCGCCGGAGCCAGCGCAGAAGTCAATGAAGGTGTAAGAGGGTAGGCGGGGGCCGAGCATGCGCTGAAGGATTTGGGCGGCGACGCGGGCTGGGGAGGCAGTCTGAAGGACGGGGAGTCTTTGGACCCAGGCAACGTAGAGGCCCTCTTGAACGTGAGCGCGGAGGAAGGACGGGAACCTGTTCAGAGACTATGTCAGTTGACTGCGAAGCAGAGGTGAAGCGGAGGGAGAGGGAGTCGATGCAGTCGTGCGTACCATGGTTGATCGTCGATTTCGAAGAGGTGAAATCGTGGTATAAGAGGCGCCATCGTAGTGACGTTAAGGCGAGAGTGGTTGGTGTTGTTGGGAAGAGCCGTGCAAGCGAGACAACGCTCGATATGGAGCAATTGAAATTCCGAGATATGGGCGGCCAAAGCAGATTCGACGCTAGATAGCACGTGCCTCCAAAAGGCTTCTGCTTTCTAGCTTGTAGGCCAATTCTAAGCCATAAGGGTTGATGCTATGGACGGGTCGATGGTGTGCTTGTTGAGTAGAGGAACAGAGGCGTTCAGTTCGCTTTGCCCCTAGCTGGCGCGAAAGGCTCGAGGGTGTTGCATTCGCTGCACATAACAAACACCTCGAGACACCGAAAGATCCAGAACGGGCAGGGATTCTGTCTCCACGCTGTACAGGTACAGGAACACAGTACCTACCTATCTATTAGGTACCTAGGTATGTAGGTTTGGTTGTTCATTTGACCGTGGCTGAACAACACAGCTGGTATGAGGCTGTGACATATCCACAGGTGTACTACGGGACTGCTCCGTCGGCGATTCTCTGGCGGTGTTTACGTTTTGGGGGTAAATGACTATGTGAGGTGAGGATGATGAAATGGAAGACAACATGACGGCGGAAAGCTACAGGGGAGGGGTGCGGGGTTTGACAGGGCTTTAGTGGAGAGGGAAGCTGTGGGATCGACCCCTTGGGACTTGAAAGCCAATTCAACCTGCTGTCCTCGCCAGGCGTCAACCGCCAACCAGCTTCCTCTTCGGCCTACCTGGATGAAGCCGTTGAGTTTCTGCGATGGACTTCATTGGATGGATGATTTGACATCAGACGATTTCCGACGCACTTAACATACCCTAATTTGATCTGGCCCAATGTCACTGTGTTGCTGCCGCTAATTAGGCCCTTCCTTTGCAGACCGAATGAAGCGAGGCCGAGAAGCAGCAGCCCAACCACCGGATTTCATCCCAGGATTATTGATATTTCCTTCAACGCCTTTCTCGTCCAAACGCTAAGGGTTTCTTTGGAATTCTGAAGCACAATACGACTGACAGAAGGATTGCTCGTTTCCTTCACAACCATTGTGGTGTACGGCTTCAACATGGGTGTCATTAACCCCTTAACAGTCCTCGCCGCGGGCATCGTCTCCGTGTTGCTGTATGCCATTTTTGGCCAATCCAAATTGAAGAGAAACGGTGTTCCGCTACAGTAAGTCATAGGCGAAGCTTCCCACAGATGGGACGGACAGGTCCCGGTCCAACGCAGCACTGATTTGGTTTGCCCAGACGCCCCCCTGGTACCCTACCCCTTGCTGGCAACGGCATTAACTTCTTAAGAGACCGACAAAACTTGTTCGACTGGTTTGCAAAGTGCGAGCAGCTCTACGGCTATGAGACCTTGCAGATCTCCGTTCCAAGCCTCCCGCCTGGCGTCATTATCAGTGACCCAAGAAATCTCGACTACGTCTTCAAAAATGAGGGCATATTTGCCAAGGGCGAGTTCTTCCAAGCGCGGTCGAGGGACTTATTCGGTCAGCACCCCATGCGAATCAGCACCGAAGGGTTATGTTTGCTCACACAGATATAGGCAACGGGATCATCAATGTTGATGGTAACCTGTGGAGGATACAGCGCAAAGCGGGGCTGAACTTTCTCAACACGTCAAACTTGAGAGTCCTGACAGATGTAGCTCTGCCAGAGTATCTATCGCGGAGTGTGGCCTTCCTGGAGGCTAAGGCCGGCAAGGGAACTGTCGACCTACAAGCTGTCTTTCACGAAATCACCACACAACTCATGGGGAAGATGGCGTACAATGTAGGTTTCCTTCCTGGTTAAAAGCCACACAATCCCTGCTCCAGCCAAGTTACTCGTGGGCAAGGACTCTTTCGCTGATGGGAAGTCCCAGATGGAGATGCACGCCGAAGACGATTTCGGCCTGGCTTTCGACTACGCATCCGGAGCAACTGCTGAACGGTTTCAAAACCCGCTATGGTTCGTCAGCGAACTATTTACTGGTGCCCGGTTGCGGAAGTCTTTATCGGCCGTGAAGTCATTCGGACGCAGTATTGTCTCCAACGCAATAAAGGACAGAAAGATTCGTACCGTGAACGAGGAGCAGATTTCCAAAGATGCTAGCAAGGATAGAATGGGCGATATCTCGGGTAGTCTAATCCAATCGCTCTTGGACTCCATCGGGGATGAGCAGCTGGTCGCTGATGCTGCGCTGAACTACCTCTCCGCTGGCAGAGACACAACGGCACAAGCTCTTACATGGACGTTCTACTTGTTAATGAAGCATCCCGAGGTCGTAGCCAAGGTCCGCAAGGAAATCGACCAAGTCACAGAGGACAGTCAGGACACACTTGAGAAGGCCATATCAGAGCAGGGCAATCCAACCTCGATGCCATACATCTTCGCCGTCTTCTGTGAAGCACTGCGCATCTTCCCACCCATCCCCTTCGAGATCAAGCAGGCTGTACAGGCGACCACTCTGCCGGACGGTACTTTTCTCCCCCAGAACGCTGTCATTGTATGGTGCACTTGGGCAATGAACCGATCACGCCTCACATGGGGCCCTGATGCGGACGAGTTTCGCCCTGAGCGTTGGCTGGTTGATGGCAAGGTAGCCAACAAGAGCGCCTCGGAGTTCCCCGTCTTCAACGGCGGGCCGAGGACGTGTCTGGGCAAGAAAATGGCAGAGATCATTGCCGTGCAGGTCATCGCCACGGTGGTTGGCCTTTTCGACTGTGTGAGGGTGGACGACTCGACGAGAGTCAGCAAGAGCAGTCTGACACTCCCAATGAAGGATGGGCTACCTTGTTTTGTGCGCCGCAGGGGCACCGATTCGGGATAGTTAAAACGCTTTTAACAAGCTGTTGCACAACTGTTGATATCAATACACTCTCGCGCGTAAATCATCTATCATCGAGCAAAATGCGACAATCAAGCGGTATATTTGCAATAGATGCATAAAAACAATGCTGCAGCACTAGAAGAACTCGTCATGTAGCACAACCTGGTTTCGATCCAGGGACCTCTGGGTTATGAGCCCAGCGCTCTACCCCTGAGCTATTGTGCTAGTAGTGGGTCTTGCTTTTGGAATCTGGGGAAAATTCTAGGTTACAATAGGGTTTACAGCTCACCCCACTACCGCAGTTTTCGTTCCGAGGTGAATTCAAGTTCAGCAAAAAGCGAACGAATACGTCGGCAAAGAACCAAAAGTATTGTATTCTGCTGGCTCGCCATGGGTGGTACTTGAACAATCGAAACTCGTCCACTGTAGTACACGGCAGCTTGCCTTACATGCCCCATCGTCCCCTCGTTCATTATTCCTATCTGAACCACCAGTTCACCGACGCGTTAAGTCGCCCGTCATGATGCCCACTCTTGACACTATGCCACCAGCCCGTGGGGACAAACAAAGCATCTCCGGGGCCTAATCTGGCTTCCACAATGTCCTCGGAGCCCTCCATACCCCAAACGGCCGCGTTCATCACGACTCTCCCACGGCCTTCCATCATCTCCGTCGTTCTGATGCGGCTATTTCCAGACTGTTGAATCTGCGTCTGCACCCTGCAATACAAGCGATCCCCAGACGACGGGGGAAGTAGACGAATGGTCTTTTCGCCGACAAGCTGACAGAACAGATTTGGGTTGGGGTCTCGGTGCAGCGGTGTGTACGTCGGTTCCAGCCCGAGCCACACGCTCGAACTATAGACATCGCCTTTGCCGGCGTCCCTTACAATGCGCGGGACAGGGAGGTCATCCTGAAGTCCCGGCGGGAGGTCAGGTATTTGGGCCTGAGCTACATAGAGCTGCTTGATTTTCTTCTCGTGCAGTCTGTTGAACTCAGCGGCCTTAAGAAGGAGCAGAAAGGGCGCGGTGAAAGAGGAGAAGCGCGGCTCTGAGGCGTCGGGATAACTAGCGGCATGAACGATGCCGGCCAGGACCGCGCCTATGGGGTCCGAGCCCGAAGCAAGCCAGTGAAGGAACTGATTTGTTGTACTGACAATGAGATTCGTGTCTTCAGAGAGTTGGGGGCTCATTAGCTCATAGGGTAGCATGTGATGCGCAAACTGGTCCATGTAACTAGCGAACGTGACGGTGGGCCCCTGCGTGAGGGCCTGGGGGTGAAAGGCTTCATCGTGCTTGAACCATTTTAATGATGCTGGGAAGGGACTCTTGATTGAGGATGTCGTTGGTTGTTTGAAAAGACGAGGTATCCCCGGACCGAAAGCCGTCTCTCGGAATTCGGAGATGTCGACGGCGTTGAATGCTGTTTTTGTGACTTCGACGGAGGTGATGGTTGAGAAGCTTCGGCCGGTCAGTCTTGGCTTTGGCAACCTGATTGCGCAGCAACAGCCTGGTATGCGAGATACCATTCTCAGACACGGCTCATCCGGAAACGCTCTCTTCTCGGTATAGGTGGACACTGACGCGTGACAAGCATATGGTGCATCATCAGTTCCGGCATGACGCGTGTTCTCTCAAGACTGACATCACGTGGGCGAGGGATGGAGTTGCAATTCGGTGAACGGACATAGCTAGCAGGTGAGAGGGAGTCTCTCACCGAGATGGACGGCCGCTGGATTAAGAAAAGACCCGTTTCACCGGGCAGAAGCACGCGCACAGGCCACGGTTGTGATTGGGTGTAATCTTCTGTTCTAAGCGGGCTGGGCGGTCTGCGTGAGGCACCACAGCCACCCACCACAACTTCAGCTTTTGCTGAGAGGCCCAAATACCACCGCCGCCTTCGCCCCCAAGCAAAAATAAGGACGAATAAAATTGTATCGCAACTCAATTTCGCTAAGCGCGCTGACTCCGATCTTTCGCGAAACCCGTCCTCGATCCACCATCCCCTCTATCGACGGCGTCGACTTTTGCGCTCGATATGCGCCGCGTCTGACCCTTCCGCACGCCCACCAATTACCCCGCCATATTTGCGCCCCTGCTGGGAATACTACTTACTACCCGATATCCAAACAGCCGTACAAAGGCCAGACTTTGACTCCATCCAACGGTTATATCGCGCGAGCCTACTCGCGCTGCAAACTCTCGCCTTTTAACCCGACACCCCATCAATACCACCACCTTGGATTACCTCGACGACATGTCCACCTCTTCGGGGGCCCCGGAGTCTTGGATATCTTCCTTCTGCTCTTTACTTGGCCACGAATACTTCGCAGAAGTCTCTGAGGAGTTCATTGAAGATGACTTCAATCTCACGGGCTTGCAGAATCAGGTCGCCATGTACAAGGAAGCACTTGAGGTATGCTCTTCAAGATTTTCTCGGTGTTCCCCCTATCCTTTGAACTTGCCTTATTCGCTCTCTTCAACCCCCCCCCCCCTCTTCCCCCCTCTTCCCCCCTTTTGTGCTTCTCGAAACCTCCCGCCTTATAGGTTTGAGTACTAACCGGGTACGTTCAGATGATCCTCGATGTGGAGCCTGAGGAAGACGAGGACGAAGAGGAAGAGGAAGACGAAGACGAAGAGGATAATGATTCGGGAGACCAAGACCGTCTCGGCCCCAGACACGACCGGAGACAACATAGCCGCATGGCGAGTGACCTTAGCGTCATTGAGTCTTCCTCTGAGATGCTCTATGGCCTGATTCATCAACGGTTCATCTGCTCACGGGCAGGAATCCAACAGATGAGTGAGAAGTACGAGCTGGGTCACTTCGGCTGCTGCCCCCGAACAAACTGCGATCAAGCAAGGACACTCCCGGTGGGACTCTCTGATATTCCTGGTGAAGACACTGTGAAGCTGTTCTGCCCCTCATGTCTCGACGTCTACGTCCCCCCCAATAGCCGCTTCCAGACGGTTGATGGAGCCTTTTTCGGTCGCACGTTCGGTGCCCTTTTCCTCCTCACATTCCCGGAGTACGACCTCACCAAGCGTGGAGCTGAGGTTCTCAGCAGTGGTGGCGCACGCATCAACGATGACTCGGTCGAGATGATAAACGGCATGTATGCCAAGAACATTGCACCCGGTCTGGGTGCTGGTCGGATATATGAGCCTCGCATCTACGGCTTCCGCGTCTCTGAGATTGCCAAATCGGGTCCACGGATGCAGTGGTTGAGGGACAGGCCGGACGACATGACCGAACTGGACGAGGCGCGCCTCTATGCGGATGAGCACCCCGATTCGGATGAGGACGACGAGAACATGAACGGCAATGGACGGCCCGCACCTCGGCACCGTGCTCCACGTGGCAATGCCCGCCTTCGTGCGCAACGTCAGGCTCAGAACGGCAGCCCCATGAACGTCGAGACAAACGGTGCGGAATCGGAACTTTGAGAGCCGAGCTGGATAGCAGTAATTTTTCCATCCTCTCCGTGATCTGTACTCGGTTCCCGCAATCTGGCGATGACGATCGATGGCACACTTGAGTGCTACGCCAAGATAGAGGCACGAATAGTTGTGGACGGGGGATGGTGGAGCGCGCGAGGAAACGGCCAATACGGATGGATGCCCTGCATAAGGTAGAAGGCGTTTAGGAGGCAAGTCCCGATCTCCCTCGACGAATGGGGCACGTCGCTGCTAAAGGGGGGGTGCATTACGGAAGTAAACAAATCATATCGTGGAACGAAATACGGTTTCGATTCTCTTTGCAGGCGACAACGTCTGCTGTATAGGCGTAATGCGACGGCCATTGCATTTTTGGGGCCTCGGGAAACAGACTATAGACTGCATGCAATTCGTCGGTCAATCCAAGCAACAACCCACATTGTGCCCATCGTGATGCCGGCTTGTGTATGCGTATGCGTTGTGTCATGTTTCGAACCGTTGTTTGCTGTTCCCTTCCCTGGACGCCTGGTTCTCATCCGACTCTTTTCAACATCATTGATAGACACCACACTAGCGCCAACGATGGATACCTCTCGACATTGTCGTAATATATTTCTCTGCAACCGACGAACTACCATGCAAACGAATAACGAGGTCTCATGTCCTCTCATTCTTGTTCTTCCCTGGCAGAATAGTTGGCAACTTTTCATCTCCACTTAACCTCGTCGCACTGGGCCAACATTCACTGTTGACACTGTCCCACATCTCCCTTCCCTGAGATATCCTCCTGTGTATCTAATGCTGGAGGGGTATCTTGGGAGCGAGCACATAAAGAGTTTAGAGTTCATTTCCTCCAAATTCGCCGGAAAAGAAGTTGAATTGTGATTCAATGGCTCAAGAGAACCAGACTCGGTCGTTCATGTCCTCCTATATCGCGGAAATCGGCATCTGCATGATGTTACACGGCGTGACCTTGGCACCGTGGCTGGAACCTTTGATATATTCTTCTCGGACTCTCGCTCAAACAATACAGCGCTCAGATACGGTATCCGCAGTCTCATAAGCCCCGGCTTCTATCCCACGGCAAGCTGTTTATTTCTTTTTGAGAGTGATGCATTTTCTTCTATGCTTCATGGAGCTCCAATGAGTCCTTCGTGCCAATGAGCACTTGCGTATATGGGGCTGACCAGTTCCACGGCATTTCCCTTCGAGGGAGGCAGGCAATGAAAATTATATCCCTCGAGACATGTCTTTTAGCCCAGATCATCTTCAAAACCAAACATCCCTAACGATTCAGCATAGTGGTCTGACGCTGTGCGCTTTGGGTTCGAGGGGTCGAAGCACAGCGATGTAAGGACTTTTCGGAACGACAATAAGCCACCTTGTACTAACAGCATCCATACCTGGGAGGTTGGTCAAGTATCATATCTTCAGGTGCTGTCCTCTAGACCATAAGTTGCTGATTGAGTTGAACTTCCCAGATATGGCAGACAGAAGCCAAAGTTGGCATTAGGGATTTTTAAGAAAAAGATACAAAACACCAAGTGTTATGAGCGTGGCATGGGTTTTTGCCTGTTGTCGCATTAATCTGGTAATGCGGCTAGCAATCAGTATGCATACGGTTGGACATGCTGTCCTCTTTCAAGAGGCTTTTGGCATTGGGGTAGTCCTTCTACCCCTAAACACAGCAGCTGGCTAAGTTGAGAAGAGAGGATGTTGTACCCACCCCAAGCGGCTGGGCCCGGGTTGAGGTATAGGGCTTCGTTTCCCCATGGCGAGTGAACCGGTGTTCGATGATGCTACATGGGATGAAGAGCAGTGGCCGTATTTGATTTTATTCGGGCAAATTAATCAGTGGGAAGTTGCCCCTTTGAGTTCCTAAAGTTGAAAGGCTGAGGTATGAATTGCACCTTCTCATCCTAGGAACGACAGCCAGCCACCGGCTGTCTTGGCCCCTGTGTCCCTCTAGAAGAAGTCGAATGTAAGCATACCATCTCCGTCTTGAATTTGATTACTCCAGCTATGTTTCGCTTTGGCGTCATGATTCCCCCATTTACCCAGACATGGGTAGCGAAGACACACTTTTCCCTCTAGAGCCCAACAGCACACAAAACGAGTGTTACGCTGTGCTATGCTATGCCAGCTGACATAGTCCTTCGGTCTTATCCATAGACTCACCGGCCTGAATCCATCCTCTACGACTTGTTTTCCCGACTTCAGAAATCCACCCAGGATACCGGCAAGATGACCGAGCGGTCTAAGGCGCTAGCTTAGGTGGTAGTCAAGGAGGCGGCCAGTAGCCGCGATTCTTGAGGTCTGGGTATAGCGGCGAACCGTGACGTTGGCAAGTTCATGCCAAAGCATAGGTACCAAGACCACGGCAGATGAGCATTTTAGCATCTTCTCAAGGAGGGAAAGGCATTTGAAGGTAGGACATGGGTGCAGGATGGTCCTAGAAGCGTTTAGAAACCAATACCAACCTACGCTCATGTACCCACAGCTCCGTTTCTGTGAGATGAGATGTTCAGAAAACCAGGCCACCATTCAAGTTGTATTATATTCAGTGCTATTTGACTGGCGTTTGTTCCTCATTCACAAAACAAGCACATTCAGCGTCGAAAATCTGGAAATCTTGTGACGGCCAGCGCCTCACCAGCATAGCGTCGCAACGTTTCTCGCGGCCATGATAAAGGTCAGGTCAGTCGCCGAGTTCCTCAGGCCAGCCAAGGGTTCTAAGAAAATGTCACAGGTTGGCGAAGGGAGAGCAGTGCGTGGTTGCTAATGGCCAAGTAGAGTGATAACATTTTTATCTATCTTGGAGCTAATCTGGCCGAGATGCAGTTTTGAGCAGGGCGTAGGAGTGTGTAAATCTGTGAAAGTCCGGGTTAGCAAACATCCATTGACAAAACAAGTTTGTTGTTGCAAAAGAGTATGTTGCATGTAAGCTACATTCAGACTGTTGAGCTTGATAATTTTTGAATCAACATGGTATTTTCTGTTGGCCGTTCTTAATGGAAGAGATGATCATCAATGTAGCAACCCACGTATGTGTGGGTGTGGTTAGGAAGTAAAAGTAAATGCTTACCAGGTTAGGATATCCTGCGTGCTGGACTGTTGGTAAGTAGCAGGATCGGGCTATTTGAAAAGAGATATCGTGTTGTAGATTAAGGAAAGCGAAATGTTTTAAAAGGATTGAAATATTTGTAGCTGGACGAGACGAGAGAAGTCCAGCGCACGGGCCTCCCCCCCACAGAGGCTCGCTTCGGGCGGCCAGCATTTAGTAAGCAGGTTGTCCCGTTAGGCAGAAAACTCTTAATTGCATATGCTTAAAGAAAATGAGACTACCCCACCATCTATGAGAGAAAGAGGTATGAGAAGCAGTACAATCGCATATACCGGTAACCAAAGAGGTTGCCCACTGCGACCAATACAACCCCGCCGTCAACAAGGAAACCCGAAGGTATACTGCCCTATGCCCGAAAGGGCCCGACAGACCAGGTACCTCGCCAGCGTATGCGACGTGCGTTAGGTACCTTCCATCCCGAATTGGAACAGCCTTGGGCCCTCGATGTGTGCGCTGTGCCCCTGTAAGGTGACGGACGGCCCCTCTCAGTCACCACCACCCCTCATTCTTTTCTTTCCAGCCTGACTGCCCTCAGGAAAGCTCTCCCATTAGATTAGAAAAAGGCCACCTAGACTCACGAGCGCTTTTTGCCCATCCTAGACATACCGATCACGCCTACAACATAGCCTTCCTCTTTTAAAATCAGACAAAATGGCTGGCAGTAAGTCAATTCCGTCCTCCCTCCGCGACCAGTGCGACCAGCCTTGCACTTGCGCTTCGCGTTGCGCTGGCCGTGTTCTTGCCCCGCTTCTCCGACATCTCTACGATTCCTTGTTTTTCTTTTGCCAACATCGAGTTGCAGACGGATGTACGGAAAGATGGCTAACTAAGTTTCAATGACAGACTTTGAAGAGGTTGCAAGTAGGTGCTCCCGTTGCTCGAAACCTGCTTTCCAATGCCGTTGCCGTCTATCTCCGACCCTAAGCCAGACTAACTCCTTCCTAAACGCAAACAGAGCAGTTCATCGAGTTCTACTACAACCAATTCGACTCGGACCGCAAGGGACTTGCAAGCCTCTACGTGAGATAACAACCGATTTTTTATTTTATCTTCATCTCTCGATCGGGTGGCCTTGCGAAGCTAACGGCATAACTAGCGCGAGCAATCCATGCTGACTTTTGAGTCCGCCTCCACCCTTGGCGTCAACTCCATCGTCGAGAAGCTCACGGTATGTGATTCCTGGACAAGAGCCAGAGGAGCAAGGCGCTGCCGCGAGGTGACACTAACACCATTACAGTCTCTTCCTTTCGAGAAGGTCAAGCACCAGGTTACGACCCTCGATGCCCAGCCCACCCTTGAGGGCGGCATCATCATTCTCGTTACCGGCCAGCTCTTGGTAAGCACAAGACTAAAATCCTTTAGGTTAATCAACCGCATTGGAAATTCTCTGACAATTGCGAATCTAGGTCGACGAGGAGCAGCGCCCCCAAAACTACACCCAGGCTTTCCAGCTGGTGCGTGACCCTACCGGCAACTACTTTGTCTTCAACGACATCTTCAAGCTGGTTTACGGTTAAATGTCGTAACTGTTGACGAGATACACGTGCCACTTCTTCCGACGACACGAGACAGAGGCATGAATTCCGGCAGTTTAGAGGAAATGTCGACCTGATGAGATCCAGACATCCGACTTCAATGAACTGGGCATAGGTAGAGGCAGGGAATGAAAGCACCCCCTTCTCCGGTTTGTCTTGGGATTTTGCAAGGAATCAAGCAAGGCTCTGTTTGTCTGCATGACCCCTTGAAAATGGGAGAAATAAGTTTACCATCACACATGTTCAACACCATTGACACCCATCCCCTGATTTCGTAAAATGAACTCAACCTCTCTGTACCATTTGTTTCGTTTCCCGTGCGATGTTCACTTTAGTTCCTTAACACGACTTTTCCCAAAGACGAAGCAAATCTGAAGCCTTCAGATACAGTTGTGGCCACTGCTAAGCATCGCCTCACACTGGCGGGCAGGTGAAGGGGGTATGTCCAGATTACGCCGTTAACAGCGCTCTTTATCTTTCAGCGGACCAGCATGGACGCATCCCCTCCATCGCTAAACACAAGCTGGGCATGCTTTCCGCGGACAATCTCTTCCTCCCCGCCATTGGAAAGGATGCTGCTGCTCCTATGGCTCTTCGGAAATTTGGTGCCAAAGCCAAGGTCACGGATACGACCGCTAGCAATATCAAAAATACATCCGTGGACTGTAAGACCACGCTCCTTCATGGCCTCTTGGACCGTAAAGTTAGCCATCAAGACCTTGACACCAGTCTCGACGTTCATCTCGGCAATCCGGACAGCGCGATGGTCATCGTCCTTGATGCCAGCAAGCTCCTCAGCATTTTGAACGCGAACCGCCTTCAGTGGTGTAAGCCAGGTGTCCAGGACGCCTCCGACACGCGAATCGCCCAGCGCTGCCTTGGCACCACCGCAGGCCGAGTGGCCACAGAGGACAACGTGCTTGACCTTGAGGTGTGCGACAGCGTATTCGATGACGGCTGAGGTGTTGATATCCGTGGGCGCGACGATGTTGGCAATGTTGCGATGGACGAATACGTCGCCGGGCTGAAGCCCGAGTATTGTTGTCTCTGGCACTCTTGAATCAGAGCAGCCTAACCACACTGTTGCCACACCTTGTTAGCTACATAACTGATAAGACGTTGTCGGCGGCGCGCGTGATCAGCAGCCGGTGTGCGTGGAAGCTAGGTAGCCTTACATATCGAGGGCGACTGCCCCGAAGCGAGGTTTTTGAAGAAGGCAGGGTTTTGGTGCGATTTGTACCCAGCCCATGCCTGGTTCGAGCTCAAAGCATACAAGAACTTGTTCTCTGTATTGACGAAGACGCTGTATCAGTAACATGTGAGGGTAGACCAAGAGGGCTCTTAGTGGTACTTACGGTCTTGGAACGCCATTGCGGTCAATTCAACCACTAAGCAACCTGCTTTGCGAGGAGGTTTGAAAGGGTATCAATAAAACTAATACGAAAGGAACAGTCGGAGTCGCCTTATTGCTAGCTAGCCTTGTTTAGACGCAGTGCGGATGAGGGCCAGCTGAGACCTGCGCAGCTGGAGTTGCTTAGCCAAGGAGTCAACTATTATACGAGACCTCCCGATGGTGCTTATGTTGGATCCAAGACAGAGGATCTGGGCCGGCCACCAGAGTCCTGTCTCTTTCCGAGGCTTCGGGTTCAAGAAAGCCCAGTAAATCTTGTGTGGGAGGGAGACTGCCGGTCGGACCTGTGGGGAGCACAACAGCGTTGAGGTGAAAAGGCAAACTTATTTTCCGACAACCGATAATACGCGCAGTAAACTGGTTGGAGAGTCACCAGAGTCGGGGTTTATCAAGTCCAACGTGAGGGGAGGGCGGGCGCCGAATGATGTGGTGTGACCTTGGATCTCCTTGTGGGATTATCCTGCTACTTGAATGTGGGTCAGCCGTGTCGGGCTAGATGCACTATGACAATCCGCCTAAGCAACAGTATATTGAGGCTTTGTCGGGGAAAGAGAAGGAGGGGGGGGAGAGAGAGGAAGAGAGGGAGGGAAGTGCCCAAAGATTGTGTGGGCGGGTGACTGAAGGTGGAACGTGGTATCTAGTGTATGGCATAGCAAGGTCAACCAACTGTGTCAAGGAGACTTACATTGAGATAGTCGGAGACTTGCAAGCAAGGTGTGGGTTGCTTGGGGGGCAAGCTATAATAAGGAAAGCATCAAGCAAGGTGTTTCGAGATCCTTCAGAAGCAACTGAGATGCTGCACGCAGTTTTGACGAAAGAGTATATTGTGAAACTCCACCGAGGACGAGGAGAAGGAGGATGAAGGTGATATAAGTAGAGAACGATGATATATTGCTCGAAGATATATTAGGGTCATGGGGAAGGCAATGACGACAGATAATAGCAGGGCAAGTTCGTGCATCTCACGTCCTTTGGGACTGGGGGACCATGGCACTTCATGAAAAGCTGCCCGCACTCGGAGGCAGAGCCAAGCCTTGGACGAGTCGCTCCGAAATACCAAACGTGTCATCCTGGATTCACCAGGGACTAGCTAGCACACGACAGACGGTAAAGGTGGGAGATGATGGGCTTGAGGGGGGAGAACGGGAGGGACCCCCCCCCCCCCTTTCCGCGACTTGATGCGTCTAACTCAAATTGCGACTTGAAGTGTTTGTCATTCCGGACAACGACCCAAGCATAATCCGACCCTGTCGACCTCGCGGCGCGATGTATCGGCGATTCTTACCGGAAGACACGGCATATCTGACAATTCCTATAACAGCTGTTCTCATTTGACGAAAAAGGCAGTAATGGGACAAGATGGGAACAAAAAGGGCAGGGGAGGGGGGTCCCAATGAATAGAGGCGACGGCGGCATTATCGGTAGTTGACTAGTTGACTACAACTCTGCCCACCAGATCTGGGCAGAAGTATCGTTTGCGTGTCATTGTCTCCTAGGGTTAGCCTTCTCCGCCAGTTGGAGTACCTCCGTCCTAGCCCGGCATGGATCGAGCAAGCATCATACCCTGTAGGCCGCTCCTATATGGACTAGACATATGGCAGTCCACAACAACACGGGAAACGCTCGTCTGATCGTTGGTCCGCTGGGTACGAGCTGTCGGGGATTAGTTGAGTCAAGGGCTCTGAAACAGTCGCGTACCGGTGTGTATGTGCACCTCAACATACTGGCATGGAAGACAAGGTATCTTTAATGATACGTGCTCTCTTTGTCCACCGATTCCTATGTTCTTCCCCCGATTCTGCTCGGAGTCCTCGTTCTGACCAGCATTCCTCTGACAGCTTGGGCGTGTGCCGTGTTCCGAGGGGTTAAACTGACTGACCGCAACCTCTACCCCCGAGTCCTGGGACCGGGAGGGCCGCCGGCATGGGTCATTTGCCAGTCAAGCCGGTACGCCTCATTGACTACAGGAGGGGATGATGGAGAGGGGGACGCAGAGCATGGCAATAAAGCAATGAAGCAGAGCGATTGATGGCTACTAACTAGCCCGAAAGTAGTTAGTAATGCCATACTCGCATTAAACGTCCGGACAGGCGCTTACGATGTTCCCGGTCATACTTTCATTGGCAATTCCTCAGGTAGAAGAAGTGAGCGGAAAGTGGCCCGGCCATTTGTCAAAAACACTCATCAAACTAGCCTTCTCCTCGTCTCGACATGGAGGGACTCAACGCCGCTCTTCACACCATAAAGCGCAGATGCCGATTGTGCTCAGTTATGTACGAATAGGCGTACCGAGAGGATAGGGTGGGGCGGGCCATTAGATCGGAATGCCATTTAAAGTTGATGGCGATGATGCGCCAGTTCAAGGAGGATAAAATAAAGGGTGACTCCCGTCGACAACCCAGACCGGGAACAATCAGAACCTGGGTGGGTGCAGTCGAGGTGGGTTTGCGGCAAGGAAACACACATGGCAGCCGAAATGCGCCATCCAAATAGATAACCGGCCTAGACCGGATGATCATAAATAGACGCAGTGCTGTCTGCTAGGTAGTAATGGCAGCGGACACGCGCGAAGCACGAGGGGGCAGCTTGAGAACGACAGGGGCCGAAAGAAGATAAGCACTCCTGGCTGAAAAGCCAAGAATGCTACGGCATTCGTACCTACATGATTGGGATACACCGCCATATTCGTTGGCTTGGCGTGCGACAGGTCTGGCATCCTCACATACTCAAGTGCAGATCGCATCATTTCGATTTTCTTGGGTAGTGATGCTCGTACCTACAACAATCCTATCTCAGACGTTTCTCATCCTTTTGAAGCACTTTGAGTTTTGTGTCAAGAGACATTGGCAAACTGATCTGGACCAACCCCACCTCCATAAGAACAGTCCTTGTCGCCGATCAACCCCACCGCCAACCATGACCAGGTGCTTTATTTAACTCCCGCTTTCTCTCCTCACATTTACGTAGTCCGCCTTAGTGTCATGAGATTGCATTACTACAATGGCTCACACATGACCAAATGGGAGGCAGGTCGGGCAATTACCTCTCGTCGGGCTTTAATGTCGACAGCAACCTCTCCCTTGAGTCTTCTCTTGCGTGCAAACTCGGGTAGCCTTTTACTCACATATTCGGCATACGACTGGGCGTCGCCACTGTTGACGAGAACCGACCAACAGCCGCGTTGGCATCCCAATTCTTGAAGGTAAATATCATCAATGGCTCAATCGTATCACATATAATTCGGGCTTCCGGCAGATACATTGGATTGCCGTTCACTCAATTGTGGGATATGCGTTCCTTCGGGTCGGAAATGGGGCACGATGCATGGCGACACATGTGAGATGCGCCGTCGAAACACAGCATCAAGGAAGAAAAGCATCAACTTGAAACCCAAAATAGTCATTCCGACGCCATGCCAAATTTTTGTGAATCCGATAGCCTCCAGTGGCCTAGTCTCCTAATACACTAAAGTAGTCCGGGTATTGCTCCATCTTAGACCTTGATGGCGTTGTCGAGAGCCTTCTGCTTCTTCTCGGTGCGCTTCTGGGCCTTGGCGCCCATGATACCACCGCCCCACTGCTTTCTCGCGCTCTCAGTCTTCTCTAGGTAGCCGTCCTTAATGGCGGAGATGAGCTTGGAGAGCTCATTCTTGTCCTCAGAGCGAACCTCGGTGATGGCGAGGACAGCAGCGGTCTAAAGAGTCAGCGCATGAGCAAGAAGCAAGGTACTGCGACTGCAGCAGGAATAGAAAATACCTTCTTGTGGACGACTGTGCCGAGGCGAGCCTTGCCCTTGATGATGGCGAAGGGGACACCCATCTTGCGGCAGAGGGCCGGGAGGAAGATAACCAGCTCAATGGGGTCGACGTCGTTGGGGATCAGGACGAGGGAAGCCTTCTTGTTCTCAATCAGGCCAACAACGTGGTTCAGGCCATACTTGACAGTGTAGGGCTTCTTGGAGACATCCTCTTTCTTCTTGCCCTCCTTGATGGCGGTGGCCTCCTTGACGAGACGCTCCTTCTTCTCGGCCTTGGTCTCGGGGCGGTACTTGTTGAGGAGCTTGAAGGCCTGGGCGGCAGTGTTGCGGTCGAGGACGTGCTGGAACTGGGCGATCGCAGGGGGACCTTGAGGCGCATGTTCAAGATCTTCTTCTGGCGCTGAAGACGAACATACTCGGGCCACTTGACCATGCGGGCCAGGTTACGGCGAGGCTGGATATCCTGACCGATGCCAAAGTTGCGGGGCTTGCGCTCGATGAGAGGGTTCTACAGCGCGTGGTCAGCCGCAATGATGCCGCGCGAGTATTGGGGAAGAGTGAGCACAATGGACTTACCTTAGGACCCTTCTTGGAGCCAGCCTTTCCCTGAGGGAAAGGGGCGGGAGCCACCTTCTTACCGGACTTGGGAGGCTGTCATTGAGAAAGAAAGACATCAGCGAGTTGTCCAAAGCAACTTGAGTCTTCCCTGAACTCTAAAGAGAAAGACGGCGAAGCATCAGAGACAGATCCCCAACGCCTCACACGTCCCCTCCAGCCAGAATCATCATCGTTACCCCGTTCCCAACACGCAAGCATGCCGGGAGCAGACGGGAAGATGGAAAATCATATCCCAGCGCGCATGCGAGCGATGGCTGGATAATTTGCCTCGAGTGCGAAAAGAATTGTCGAAGACTCAATATGTACTCACCATTTTGTCGGTTGTCGTGATACTGCCGTGGGCGGGGGTGAATGAGGGACGGACACAAGAGCAAGTGCAAGTGTCAACAGTTTTTTCGGCGGACGAAAGAAAAGACTTTCAGATTCGCGGTGTGGGCCGAGAGCGAGGGAAAAAAATAAAAATTAGGGCAAGTGTGGCCGTAGACTCTCGATAAGGAGTCGCCTTCCCGGCTTGGACAACAAGCTAGTCTTATCTCCACGTGATCTTGATGCACTAACAGATTCTGTCATCTTTTGGAACTCTGAACACTATGCGCAGCGTTTGATTGGCATGCTTTTTAGACAGATCTGGGGCTGTGTCCCATGTTGGCTACTCGACTTCCTTATTTCCTCATGGCTGTACCAAGGCAGTTCATCACAGAGTCTTTTCGAGAATATCAATACTACCGATATGTGGCGTGAGTGTCTGGAGGCACAATGAACTTTTTTCGGTAGTCCAACTTCTTGCTGTTGGGGTTCACTGAGGTCCAACATGATCACTGACACAGCATCCGACGGGTCAAGATCTTCTTACCTGGGCGGTACGTACCGAGAGAACTTTATAGCCAGCGTCGCCAAAAAAAAAAAACCCCCCGTTAGTCTTGCCTCACCCCAAGGTCGTCGGTACATATTATCATGCACGCAGTTTCTCGGCTCTGTCTGATACCCAGCGCAAAACAGTTTTATCTTCACACGTAGATTCGGTCCATCGATCTGGTCTACCAGCATAACCCCGAGGCGTCCCCAACACTTGCTCTCGGTCGTTGCTCAACTCCTTTATCAAACTCTGTAATCAGGTTCCCAGGCCATCACACGGAGCTTCGATTCCAACGCGTGTTAGGTTGACCGATAACAACCCCCTGCTGAAGACTGGAGCAAAGCTGAATCACCGTCGCGACTGTTCGCTTCAGCTGGAATCATTACTCTTCTGCAAGGAGCCGACACATTGTATCTAGTCCTCAACGGCAAGGCACTGCCGTCGCCGCAAGCTACCCAAGCGCAGTCACCAACATGGCTCCTGTTCTGTGCGCCAAGTGCAAGACGGAGCGCGCTCTCGTCAAGCGTCCTAAGAACCATCAGAAGCTCTGCAAGAACTGTTTCATCTCGGTCTTTGAGGAGGAAGTGCACCATACGATCGTCTCATCTGCGCTGTTTTCTCCAGGAGAAAAGGTGGCTATTGGTGCTTCAGGCGGCAAAGACTCGACCGTCTTGGCGAGCGTTCTCAAAGACCTCAATGAGCGTTATCATTACGGTCTGGATCTTGTGCTTCTTAGCATTGATGAGGGAATCAAGGGCTACCGAGACGACTCCCTGGAGACTGTCAAGAGAAATGCCACTCAGTATGAGATGCCTTTGACGGTTATTGGGTACGATGAGTTGTATGGTTGGACTATGGACCAGGTCGTCCAAACCATTGGAAAGAAGGGCAACTGCACATATTGTGGCGTGTTTCGTCGACAGGCGCTTGACCGTGGGGCCAAAATGTTGGGCATCAAGCACCTCGTCACTGGCCACAACGCAGATGACGTTGCCGAAACTATCCTAATGAACCTTTTGAGAGGCGACTTACCTCGCCTAGGCCGAAGCACAAGCATCGTCACTGGTGACGACACCTGCGATGTCAAGCGCAGCAAGCCCCTCAAGTATTCATATGAGAAAGAGATTGTGCTATACGCACACCACAAAAAGCTCGACTACTTCAGTACCGAGTGCATATACAGCCCTGAAGCATTTCGAGGGACCGCTCGTACCTTGATCAAGAATCTTGAGCGGGTGCGGCCAAGTGCCATCCTCGACATCGTCCGCAGTGGCGAAGATATGGCACGTCTTGTTGCTGGTGGACAAAGTAGTACTTATGCTTGCAAAGGATCTTCTGCCCGCGACGCTGAAGATGATTATACTACTGGGTGTGGGTCGCAGCAGGGCAAGGCTTCAAAGAAAGAAATTGCTCAGTTGGATGCAAGCCTAAGCCAAGCAACTATTGATGATGATCTTGAGACAGACTTCACCAGGACTGCAGCTGCGGATAACAGAACACAAACCAAGAATCAACCTTTGCCAAACCGAGCGTTACCCAGCGTCCCTTTACAGACATTGGGCAAGTGCGAAAGGTGCGGTTACATGTCCAGTCAGGCTATATGTCAAGCCTGTTTGTTGGTGGATGGTCTGAACAAGAACAAGGCGCAAATTCGTATATAGGCTAGAGCTGGTTTCGGCTCAAGAAGGACAGTACCCCAGTTGTTTCAGTAGCCTGCACAGTCATTTGGTCAATAAATCCTCAACATGCCTAGCCTCTACTGCCACATGCCAGGGTTGCCAAAAAAGCAAACGGTACCACTGGGTAGGTAACTAGTTTGTTGAACTGAAAATGGTGTGTAATTGGATAGCTGGAGTCGAAGAGACATCGTAAGATGCCATACCCTTCTAGTAGAATACATGTTTTTGGTATCCACCTCCTTCTACGAGATGCGCTTCTCTAACTATGCCGTATGGTTAGCTCTTTCCAAAAGTGTTCACTCAAGTAAACATACTCTCCAAGGGTTGTTCAGCTCGAAGCCTGGAGGCGCTTCGTGGTTTCCAATTTGTCCACGCAGGTCGCCCGTAAGTCTACGGTCTCGGTCCATCACTGGGAATCGTTTCTATTAGCCCGAGGTCGAGTGATAGATAGGTAGTTCGGGTTCTTGAGAGATACATACTTTGCTAAAAGCATGGTCTGATTAGTATAATGTGCTCATAAACGAGTCCAGGTAAAGAGTACTTACCCGATCCCACTGGTCCAAACCCCAGCGAGGCTTCTTTCCACCGTTCTGGATGCCCTTAATGACATGCAGTCCGGTACCGGTGACACCAAACATCTGTATAGACCTTAGTTCCTATCATGACAGCGCAGACGTCATAGCTGGCGCAGGGCAGCTCTTACGGCAATCATGATTCCATAAGGAATCAATGTCTCGAAAGGAACAGGCATTATGGTGGACGGCCGTTCGGCAAATTGCGGTCAATTATGTATCTGTATATTTCGAAAAGATGCAAGGCTGACAAGAGCGACAGCTTGCGGTCGGTTTGTCGGCAGACGAGTCGGGGGGTGTCAAACTCCGGTTTCCCAAGGTTGACAATCTGGTTGACTGAAGTGATGCGCTGCCGCAGGTGCCCAGCAGGTCGTGAACTCGTCGCACCGGAGCTTTTTGCATCACGTGATCTATGCTCCTGGTTGAGTCCTTTGGCGGCAGATATGATTGGATACAAAGCTACCCACCATTGTGCATTGTCCCAATAGCTCACCATTCGCCACCGTGCGAAAACGGACACTTGAGACGATTGTCCCCCTTCCAAGCGCAAAATGTAGGTCCACTAAACGCACCTTTACCTCATGCCTGTTATGTACAGTGTGTAATATACAGAAATACTGTACGCGCCACGGTCCAACATAGCCGTGGAAGCTACATCCCTTAGATTGCGCCAGTCCGAGAGCCTGCAGCGTGTCATTTCTTGCGCCTCGAACACGATTTTGAAGTTACTGATGGTTTTTCTCCGTCTTGGAGGGTTTCTCGATAACAAATTGACAACGTAACTTGCGCTATTTACCTGAATAATTCGACAACCACAGGAAACGGCGCATCATTGCCGCGCAACGCCGCCCACAGTTAGACGCGCTGTCACCCTCTCCACTACAACTTCCGCTCAGAATAAGACGAACCATCACCATTCTTACGCGCCGTTCTCGTTAAACTTCCAACCCTTCTGTGCTAGCTATGGGCTGTGGATCCCACACTTTTGTTCTTGACGGACGGATTCTGAAACAGTAGTTCTGACTGTTCAACGATCATTGTAATATCTCGCGGGGGCAGAGCACCTTGGACAAGATGGCAACCGCGCAACTCACCGAGGAAGAGCTGCAGCAGAGCGCAGTTTTATCTGACGAAGACCCTGAATTCGAAGATGCACCAATTTTTCCCTCGGACCGATTACCACAAACCACCGAAAGCCCGTTGACGAACCCTAATACACACGATGACGAACTATCGGATGCAGTCGGCGACGAAGACGAGGAAAGAGACGCAAGCACCGCTGAAGACGACATTGAGATGGGCGAGAACCTCGACGATAATAGCGAGCTCTCTGAACAGGATTCGATGGACGATGAGGTAGATCATCAGTCTGATGAAGATATGGAGCAGCGCATGGAACAAGACGAAAGAGATGATGCTTCAGGCGGCGCGCGAAGCCGTAGTAGTAGTAGCTTGCTGGATGCTATCGAGGAGGACGAGGCAGAGGGCGTCGGCGCTGTCAAGTTCAGACCAGGCGAAACCGATGAGGAGGCGGATGAGCCGGACAGCGATCATTCGGATTCTCACAGTGAATCTGGCATCGAATCTGAAGAGGACGCTGCCTGGGACGAGGTCGCTGCAGCGGATGAAGATGACGAAGAGGAATCAGAGGACGCGGCACCTAACATGTGTATATTCTGCAAACAAGACGAAGAGCACGACCCCGCCGAAGACTTCGAAGATTTCTTAACCTGTGTCAACTGCGGCGAAAACTGTAAGTGAATCTGCCTCAAAGCGGGACAGTGACTAAAGGTACCTAGCACACCAGCATTGCGCTCGGGAAGCCGGCGCTCTTCAGGAACAAAGTAGTACGTTCTTCTCCACTGGGTATGTCTCTTACTAACGTGTGATCCTAGGTCTTTCTCAATGGAAGTGTCTCGATTGTGCATTGGGGGCAGATGCGCCAGTTGATGAGGCGGAAGTCGATACTGCTCAAAAGCAGGAATACGAGTACGCCGATGAGCATGACGATGATAAGAAGCACGAAATCGATCTCGAGCTCTCACCGTCTTCCAGAAGATCAACGGCTTCCCAAGTTGCGCGAGACCTACTTCCACCTCAAAAAGGTACCATCAAACCCGATTCCCATTCGGTCTTCAACCATTTGCTTCTCGACGGTGATCCAATGGATGGATCTCGTGTGCTTCGTAAGCGCAAAACGTCATCTGTCGAGGCGGATGACATCGTCATGTCGCTCCGAAAGCGCCGGCGCAACGCCTCCAAAGACCGGGAGTCAAGTCACGGTGCGGGAGCGTCGCAAGATGGTCGAAGTGGGACCAGAGACAAGGACTCAAGACGCAAGTTGCGCCTTAACCCCACACGCAAATCCCAGTCGGTAACGGTCATACGGCAAACTCGCTCAGTCGTCGTCAAGATGCGCCTGAAACCTTCCGCTCTTCGTCGAGTCTTATCCCGAAAGTCTGCGTCAAACCGAAGAAGAGTTGAGAGGGCAAGCACAACTGCGCCGCCTCATGATGGGCTGGCTGCCGCCATGACGGCTTCGTTCACGTCATCAGACTATGCACACCCTTTCTATTCCTTCTTCGACAAAGAGACCGATGAAGTCAAAGCCAAACCTTACGGCGGCATCCTTAGCGAAGCTGAAGCCGACACATCAAGAACACTACCTACCAACGATGATCGTCGGCGGTTCGACGAAGCCAAGCAGAAAGCAGAGGAGGTTTGGCGGGCTCGTCTCCACAGCGTCCAGCTCAATTTAGCGACGCCTGCGAAGAGGTCCAAAAAGAGTTCTGGCCCGGCGAGCCAGATCGAGTGCATCGACTTTGGCGGCTGGGAGATCGACACCTGGTATGCTGCTCCTTACCCCGAGGAGTACAGTCGGAACCGAACGCTCTATATTTGCGAGTTCTGCCTGAAGTATATGAACTCAGATTATGTTGCTTGGCGGCACAAACTCAAGTGTCCAGCAAAACACCCGCCGGGCGACGAAATATACCGCCATGGATCCGTCTCTGTTTTTGAGGTGGACGGCCGAAAGAACCCGGTCTATTGCCAGAATCTTTGCCTCCTTGCCAAGCTGTTCCTAGGATCTAAGACGCTCTACTACGACGTGGAGCCGTTTCTCTTCTATGTCCTATGCGAATACGACGCACTTGGCTATCACTTTGTTGGTTACTTTTCAAAAGAAAAACGAGCCAGCAGTCAGAACAACGTCTCTTGCATCCTGACATTGCCTATACACCAGCGAAAAGGTTACGGCAACCTGCTTATCGACTTCTCTTACCTGCTTACTCGCGTGGAACGCAAGACAGGATCGCCCGAAAAGCCACTTTCAGACATGGGTCTCGTTTCCTACCGCAACTACTGGAGGCTGGTGCTGTGCCGGTACCTACTAGACCATGTCGAAGAAGAAAAATCAGCCGCCCCAGGTCTGAGTATTCGACAAATGTCGGACGATACGGGGCTCACTCCCGACGATGTCATCTCTGCCCTCGAAGGCCTCAGATGTCTCGTGCGTGACCCCCAGACGGAACTGTATGCCTTCCGCGTCGATCTAGCATACTGTAACGAGTATATCGCGAAGTGGGAGGCCAAGAACTACGTCAAGTTGAACCCGGATGCGCTCACCTGGACACCATACGTCATGGGACGAGGCAATGCCACAAACTTCGAGCTTGGCCCAGCCATCAGTGCGATAGCACCGCGAGAAGAAGACGACAGTCACAAACCAGCTCAAGAGACACTGCTGCCTTCCTTACAGCAACAACCAGCGGTGAATGGCCTTCCAACCAAGGGCATCGTTGACAACTTTCACACTCCTGTCGATGCCTTATCTGCCAGCGCAGATAGCGGCGGCAAAGATACCAATGGCTCAAAGGTGGAGCCCGATATTTACGAATCAACGGAGTCACACCAGGATGGTTTGGTCGGCGGGGACGGGAGCCGTGAAACAGTGAACGAAGACGGGTTTCAACACAGTGAAGTGCCTCATTCGGCCACACCTGAGCAGGCAATGGGGCGTAATTGGGCCAGCATGTACAAGGACATACCTCCGTCGAGGTTCGAAGTGTACCCGCTTCCTGGTGGCCGACGTTCTGACCGGCCGCGGCCAAGCGTCCCTCGGCCATCTGTGCCGCGAAATACAAGCAACAACCCGCGACCGCGTCGATCCGGCGGTGGCAGTAGCGCCAGGCGACCTACCGCAAGTCGACCCAAGAGCAAAAGCTCGTCGTCCTCAGCGCGGCGGAAAACGGGTGGAACAGGGCGCGGACCGGGCCGATGGCCCAAGGGTACCAAGAAAAGCGATTATGGCAATGCCGACAGCGGGCCTGGTCTTCCACCAGGTTGGGTTAAGGACAAGCAAAGACTTGCGAGTCTTGGGGCATCCAAGGATCAAGAGGTTGAAGGACT